GATCGAATGGGTATATTCTGCTGATAAGAGGTAATATACAAGGAGTTTCGTAATCATGCGAGATTATTATGTTAACAAAATGATAAGTAGGTGGGATACAACTATGGTAATAATAAAAAACAGTAAACATGAAACGTTAGTCATTATGAACATGGATATGAAAAAGGACAAAATAAGTGCATTAAAGATATTTTGGGAAAGATGAGAGAGTGAAGGGTCAGTAGTTTATTATTATTATCAGTTACTTGGGTTCCTAATGGAACATAGGGCTTCAGTAGCACGTCTCCAGTCAACTCTGTTCTCTGAAATCTTTTCAACCTGGCTCCACGACAGCCCACAAGCTCTCATTTCCTCCTCACACGACCTCCTCCATGTCACCCTCACCTCGGACGCCCAACTTGTCGCTTCTCCTGGCAATTCCACTCGAGGGCCTGACGCGTGATGTCCCCAGTCAGCCTTCTCAGTGCATGCCCAATCCATCTCCACTTCCTCCTGCATATTTGTTGCGTGATAGGTTCTTGGTTGGTTCGTTCCCAGAGCTTCTTATTGCTTATTCTTTCTGGCCATCTGATCTTCAGTAGCGAGCCAGCGTAAGCAGTTGTTGATGAATGTCTGTAGTTTATTGGAAATCCCTTTCGCAACGTGACAAGTCACTGAGACATACAGAAGCACTGACTTGACTGGTGTTGGTGTTGAAAATCCGGATCTTGTTCCACATGCTGAGTGCAGAAGATCTCCACACTGGTTTCAAGCTAATGAACGCCTGTATTCCTTTTCCAATTCTGACTTTGACATCTTCGTCTGTGCCGCCACTGCCTGTAGTTGAAACAGTGCTTCCTAGATAGGTGAAGGAGGTTACTTCCTTTAAGTTTCTCCTCTTGATGGTGATTGGAGTTTGTTGTTTTTGTTGGTTGGGTATCTCCATCACCTCTATCTTCTCTATATTCACTTGAAGTCCCGTCTTCCTTCGCTGCCTCTTCTGCCTACTTGTTAGTATTCGCCTGTAGATCTTCAAGTTTATGTGACATCAGGCACAAGACCTTCTGCAGTAGTGGTGTGAGTATGTCCGCTGTTGTCTCTGCGTCTGTTCTCAGTGCTTCTGGCGGTATCCCATCTGGTCCTGCTGCTTTCCCGCATTTCAGTAGCTTTATGGCACTCAGGACTTCCATTTTTGTTGGAGGATTTATGTTCACTTGTAGTTCTGTTGCTGAGCTGCAGGTGGTATTTCTGGACGAAGTGCAGGTGGTGGTCGATTCAAGAGCTTCGTGAAGTGCTCAGCCCATCGTTTCCTTTGTTTCTCTCCTTTGGTAATTAAATTTCCGTCATCATCTTTTATTGGTTTCGTCTGTGTTGATCTCTTCCCAGTGGTTATTTGATATAATGTTGTCAGGTCTCTCCTACCTGCAGCCTGTTCTGCTTCACTTGCCAGTGTGTCGTAGAAGTGTCTTTTGTATTTCCGTGAACTCTTCTTCACTTCTTTGTCCAGTGTAGTGTTGTATAGGCTGTATTCAGTTCCTCTTCTCGTTGAGCATCCTTGCACTGGTTTATCTTCTGCTTCACTATCACCATCATCCTCTCCCTGCTCAATCAGCTTCCATGTGTCCATCGAGATCCATTCCTTATCCTCTTTCTTCTTCCTTCCTTCCTAATTACATTATGCAGGTTTCTTTCCACATAGCTTTCAAAGAGTTCCAGTGCTCATCCACACAGGTGTCTTCAGGAATGCTGCTCAATATCTCCCACTTTGTCTTGATGGCTGACGTGAAGATTTCCCTAGTAGTTTCATCCTTCAGTTTCTGAGTGTTGAACTTGAACTGTGGTTTATCACCAACTTCCTTGTAGGTTTTCAACTTGATTCGGTAGGTTCCTTGCACTAGATAGTGGTCTGAGCCTACATCCGCTCCTCTTCTTGACTTTGTGTCAAGTAGGCTGCGTCTCCACTTTCTTGAGATTGAGATGAAGTCGATCTGGTCTTTAGTGTGTCCGTTGTCTTGTGAAATCCATGTCGCTTTGTGGATATCCCTGTGCTTGAACACACTGCCTCACTGCAATCACCAAATCGTCGGATGCATAGAATTCTGCAAACAATTCTCCATTCTCGTTCATCACCTCACCGAGTGCTTCTCAGCCCATGGTTAGTTCTCTTCCTGTGTTTTCCGCTCCCAGTTTGGCATTCATGTCGCCCCACCCATTAGAATTTTGATATCGCCAACTGCAGCGTGGTCTTGTCCAGTGTTGATTGCAGTTGTCTGAAGAATTCCTCCTCCTTCTTTTCTCGCTCTGCATTATTTGTAGGTGCACAACGTAGCATTGCATGAATGTGACCTCCCTTCCTTTTGAGTTGAACCTTGCTGTCATAATTCTGATCCTAGAGGAGATTGGTTCCCACTGTATGAGAGCGGATGATGCTCCTGGGGACATCATGATAGCCACTTGAAAATTCAGTGTGCTCGTGGTTGTCGTCTGCGTGGCAATATCGGAGTAGATTATAGACTGTCCAGTTGACAGTTTGGAGAGTCCACTCCCATTCCAACTGCTTTCACAAATTCCCAACACTTCAGTGTGATACCTCTTCATCTCGTTTTGCAATCTGGGCTACCTTGCTGGGTTCAAACATGGTGCGGACATTCCACATCCCCATGTTTAGCCTCGCTTTCATCGAGAGAAGACACACCGGCCAACTGGCTTCCCGAAGGCTTTCACCAACTGGCGTCATTTCGCCTCTCCGATTCCAGTCAGGAATAATTTTGTTATTATTTTTTTATATATCGTTTGTGCTTTGAAGTTTCTTTAGCGGTTGGATTTGTTTTACGGGGTAGGGTTGCTAGCCCTATGCCCAACCTTCCCTCTTTAGCCGGGCTTAGGACCGGTTGGTAACTACTGAACTAGTTAACCAGGCGAGGTTGAAGGGTCAGTAGTTACCAGGGTAACAATAAGTTGGTAACTGTCTCCTTTTGAAGACAAAGTTCTGGTTGAAGTCATCGGATAGTAATGTCTTTGGGGATTCAAAGTGCCAGGTCTTTTGTATGTTGAGTACTATGAAGGATTTCAACCCATCTACTTAATGTCTTGTGACGAAATATTCCACTCTTGTTTTATTTCACCCACTTATCATTTTGTTAACATAATATTTTCCCATGAATACGCAACCTCTTCTACCTATCTCACTCGGTCAGAAACATTCCACATCTTGCCTTATATAATTCTTAAGTAGTTTGACTGAACCCATTACCTGAACTTCCTTTACGGCCTGAATTATTAAGTTTCCCTATTCTTGAAAACATTCACTGGTATCATAATATTTGTTATAGCGTTTATTTACCTTTTTTTATTCAGGTTGTATGCAACTGAAGAAAATCTTTTGAAATTCAAATGATCCAACGAAATGGTGTCTTCATTGCGTTATTTAAGTTCATATAAAGGAATAAATATATGATAATTCTCAGCAACTTGGTCATGCTGAGATACACTGAAAATGATTTTTTTAAGGTGAGCAGACTAAAATGTATTCTAAATAAGGTGGAAATCCTGCTTTAAACAAGTTTATCAATCAGCTTAGGTTCCACAGAAAGATGTCATCTAAAATGCTTAGGACTGGATTGACGCCACTCACTTATCGCAAAAAATACATTATTGTATACTACTCATTAGTGACTTGCTTCCAGATGGATATCATGAAGCTCTAGTGAGAAGCTGTGACCTGTGGAATCAACCGGTCGGAAATGAAGTGGATGCCAACTGAAGACCTTGGGTTATAGTCACGCTGTATAGTGAATTGAGAGAAGTTGGAAACTATGAACCACTAAGAACCGACCCAGTGGCTGAGTGGCCAACGCGCTAGCCGTGAAACCTGAAGGTCCTGAATTCAATACCTAGCCAAGTCGTGAGTGTGTACTACTAAGAAGTCTCATACTAGGACGAAATAGCTGTCTAGTGCTCCCAGGTTTTCAATTTACTGGTTTAAAAGCAGTTTTCATGATGCACAGACATTAACCATGGAACTACTGAAACCTAGAAACACAGGACAAATATTTTATCCTAGTTTTCAACTCCTCCACAGTGCGAACTCTCAACGCCTTCAGAGACTGAACCCAGAGCCGTTAAGTCGCAATCCAACATCCCAGCTATGAGTTTAATTTTATAAGTTATGGCCGCTTACTACAAATGTGCTTCTTCATGAGCTGAAAAGCCAATTTCGAGAAAAGTAACAACTGCCTTAATACTAAAGAGTATGAACATATGGTTGGATGTGAAATAACACCTAATACTGGGTGGTGATTGAAGGTGAAATGAAAATTTAGAGCACAAGAAGATCCGAACCAGAGACCACTGGATTTCCAGTCCTCTGGTCCACTGACTGACCCAACCACTAATCAAATTTTTACTTGACTTGGATCGACAAACAAAGTCTTAAAAAAAACTGTTCGGCAGTTGAGTATCGTAGTTCAGCTGGTATATCTGATCAGGAACCCAGTGGTCGCTGGTTCAAATCCCGTCGCGGACCAGATCCAATCATCCAGTATAAATACAAGTCTGTCAAACCATGGTTATGTCAGCTAACTTAACCGTTCTGAAATATTTTTCTCCCTTCCAATTTCAACCAATCACATGGGGCATTCACTCATAGGTCCTATCCTTTTTCTCTCTTTCCGTTTTACGATTTTCAATCTTTCATTATTTTTTTTAACAACAGATGTCGATTTTAAATATGGGAAGGAATTTTTCAGATTCCTTTTCTAATCATTGGTTTATTGTTCTATGGGGAATAGAAAATAAGTAGATTTGTCTCCTATGGAATAGTTTTTATAGTTTTATAGCAGAAGTCAGCCGAACAAATTGGGAAGATTGTAGAATAAGAGAGGGGAGTGTATGACGTTATGCTGATGAAAAATTTATAGATAAGAAATGGTTTGTTGCTCTGCTTTTCAATCAACCTGTAAACATTACACGGGTGCATACATGTACGTTTGAATAAACACGTCTATAACGTGTACTATATCATATTTACCAGTAGACTGAGTATAAAGTACGAGTTAAGAAATAAAAATAAGATACTAATTATACAGTTTCAATAATAACCAAGAGACAAGGTGGACTTTCAAAGATAAAGTGAAAAAAACAATAATTATACTCATTAGAAGAAACTGATTGGTCATTTTTTAATGAATAAAAACACCATACTCATCAATTTTAACGAATAAAAATTTTATGACATCAGAAAATATGTTAACTATCCCATCTGAATGTAATTTGTTTAAATACACCGATCATCATGTGCATACTCATCTTTTAAATAGTCCAAATAATAATCATCAACCTGAACGGCAGCATATTTTACAGTATCATATTCAACATGGTAATTGTCTTTCAATAGATCAATCAAATATTGAAAAGAAATCACTTGAAAATGTTGAAAATGAATATTTAAACAAAAGTATCACTTCAATATCACTTCCAGTTGATGAAAATGAAATATCTAATGAGGAGAATAGTTATTGTAATTCTGAGACGGTTATATCAACACCTACACTTTTAAATCCTTATCAAAATCGAAATAATCAACAAAATGAATATCAAGATACTTCATCTACATCATCATCATCATCATCATCAACATCCTCTTCATTATCAAAGTCATTATCATTGAATACTGGTTTTATATCTACTAATAACAATAAACAAACTTTAGTAAATACAAGTGAATTGTTTAGTCATATTCATGCTAATAAATATCCATTCTACAACTTACCATTTTCAATGGATTATTGTCCAAGTAAATCAATTGAATCAGAATGTGAAGTCACAAAATTTATGAGTAGTTCAGATAAAATGCAAAGAATTGTGAATGATTATACAACAAATGGACAGTTGAATAACAGTAAGTGTTTATGTATGCAGATACACAAATGTGATTTTTTTTTAATGGTATAAATTTAGAGCATCTTATCATCTGTTTGCATTCATATATACATAAGACCATATTCTAGATAGAATTGATAGTCTTCAGGACCTTAATTTGACGTATAAGAAGTAGATAAGTTGGTAATTGGATAAATAGTTTATGACTAAGTAGAAAAATGAATCTCTAACATTTAGTTGTCCTGTTTTTAAACAGATGAAGCTGTGATTCATTGGTTAAGGCAGTCAACTTTTAACCAGAAGGTCACCATTTAATACAGTGCTCCACTAACCAAGGCTTGGGTGGTTAAGTAGTACCATTGAACGTCAGAAAATAGATGTGACTGGTTGCCTACTGAACGAATATGCATAAGGTGGTAGTAGTAGTAGTAGTAGTAGTAGTAGTAGTAGTAGTAGTAGTAGTAGTAGTAGTAGTAGTAGTAGTAGTAGTAGTAGTAGTAGTAGTAGTAGTAGTAGTAGTAGTAGTAGTAGTAGCAAAACAGGTGTCATTTATGATAATTCTACTACTAATGGTAATAATGGTGACAGGGTTGAGAGAGAATTCAAAGCCTCTGCTGCGTTACCATACAAGGAAGACACCTCAGAAGCATTAGGAAGAATTCTCGATAAGGCCGACGTGGATTAAAGTGGCATTCAAATCAACAAACTCACTTAGAAACAATCTTTCCAGGTTAAAAGATCCTATCGATACAATTAAGCAAAATAATCTGGTTCACTAGATCCCTTAGAATAATTCCAGGGTGAAGTACATAGGTCAAAGCAGTCCACCAGGGTTGATTAGAATAACAGAGCACAACAAAGTAGCTAAATCAAGATTACTAGATCCTAATAAGATGGCAAATTTAGAGAAAAACTCGTCTATAGCTCTCCATGCGATGACACACAACCAAGTAGTAGGGTGGGATTGGCGTCAGTGTTGAAAACTAACTTAGTTGGATGGGTGAGGGAAAGATTGATAACCGAATCTTTGTTTATCAAGTCAAAACCAAATACATATGGAGTTACCTGATATGAATACGGACAATAAATCGTATCCGAAACATTATCCAGTAGGTGCTACTGTTTTACTGTATGATATTTCTAATAAACAGACTGAAATGGAATTACAATCGATCATAGTGCCTAAGTTTTCCTCTTATCTATACTTGCATAAGGTTGTGGATTTTTGTGAATTTAATTCGTCCATTCACTTCTGAATGGTGAACGAAAACAAATCAAATAACATGTAAACTTGAAAATTCAGGTGTTATGGGTTTCAATAAATGAAATTCCTCTTCACTTATAACATTCACATTCAAAAGTCTTACGAAATTAGCTCTCACTTCCACTTATAATTTTCGAATATCTTCTGATTGGACATCAGCCACGAATTCGCTTCCATCAACAAAGATCCATATCCTTTTATTTTTATTGTCACATGTATTCATCACAACAATATCTGATCCCTCATGAAGTTATTCCGAAATTTTGAAGTGTTGTGAATTCGAAATGCTGCTGAATTATGGAGTTGATGAATAATATCAACTAATTTAGCCTTTAGTCAACTTTGATTATCTGAAGATGTTGGGGCAAGAGGATTCAACTGGTCACAGAGATGTTCAAACTAAGCATCAATCAATATCCAAATGAGAAATTTCCGTGTGTGCAACTGAAAAAGTCGAATACAAGGGAAAGTGCCTCTAGCTCATGAACTGAAAGTACAACAGTACAAGTACAGATGAATCTCATATTTATCTGGATTGCATAGAAATGAGTTTTTATGAATGTCATTAGAAGGGGATCTGGATAATTACTGCCTTAGTCTATCCTTCGTTTTACTAATAACGGAGCCACAAAAATTGATGAATTTAATGTGGCAAATAAGAGAAATATCGGACAGCACAGAAACAATTTCAGTTAAATTGCATAATAATTTTGGACTTTGTTAGCCGTAAATGATTTGAAAGATTAGGTTGCAATTTAGGGGATCACGACACTCTAAAATTGTCGGAGAAATACATTATCAAAAATTCACAATTCATTAAATGGTTAAACGAACTCTCTAGCTTAAAGTGTAAAGTCGTATCTGTAAAAGTAAAATTAGATTTTTATGAATCATGCAATTCTGAACACATATTTCCCAGACAATTCATTTTCTACATGAAACTCATTGATTTTCACAGTTCTGTTATCAATAATACGAAAAATAGACTGAGGCAATAATTATCCAGATCCCCTTCTAATGACATTCATAAAAACTCATTTCTATGCAATCCAGATAAATATGAGATTCATCTGTACTTGTACTGTTGTACTTTCAGTTCATGAGCTAGAGGCACTTTCCCTTGTATTCGACTTTTTCAGTTGCACACACGGAAATTTCTCATTTGGATATTGATTGATGCTTAGTTTGAACATCTCTGTGACCAGTTGAATCCTCTTGCCCCAACATCTTCAGATAATCAAAGTTGACTAAAGGCTAAATTAGTTGATATTATTCATCAACTCCATAATTCAGCAGCATTTCGAATTCACAACACTTCAAAATTTCGGAATAACTTCATGAGGGATCAGATATTGTTGTGATGAATACATGTGACAATAAAAATAAAAGGATATGGATCTTTGTTGATGGAAGCGAATTCGTGGCTGATGTCCAATCAGAAGATATTCGAAAATTATAAGTGGAAGTGAGAGCTAATTTCGTAAGACTTTTGAATGTGAATGTTATAAGTGAAGAGGAATTTCATTTATTGAAACCCATATCATCTGAATTTCCAAATCCATATGATTTATCCGAAATCCATGAGTGGAAGTTACGCTGTTCATATATGCAGATAAAAATGATAACGAGATGGTATTAAATAGCATGGTCACCAATAATAAATCCACGAGTTCAAAGCTGAACGATTGAATGAATATGCAAAAAGTAGTATGAGTAAGAAATTCGGTTCGTATACATATGTATAACTCGTGGCTAGTGAATTCGACATTTTATTTGAAATATACTGTCCAAGTTGGTTGAATACTTTGGCCTTCTTTTCCGTAAAGCACCTTGAAATTTGAAACAGTGTGAAATGTCTCAGCTATCAATCTTTCCTTGTAGTTTAAAAATGTTCTTTAATTCATGTTTACTAGTAAGTTAGATTATTTCTTTTCTCTCATGTAATAAGAGGTACATTTCAATAACTGGTTAACATTACCAACAGCCAATAAGCTTTTATTCTTGAAATGAGCAATGTGTTAATTTCAGGTTGACAGATTACCATCGTAATTCAAGAAACTGTCAACATTTAAGTGTAGAGAAGGAATCCAATTTCGTGAACACGTAGAGGGACTTCCAAACTATTAAGTCATTACTTAGTATAGCAGAATCTGGTACATGACTTGCTAAAGCTGTAAGTAAATAGTCTACACGTGATTCTGTAAACAATAACAATATGATTATTGATAGTCTAACCAGGATTCGATTCTTGCACTCTCAGTAATCGATGTAGAATAAACTATATTAACAGTATTGGGCTTGCCGCTTTCTGGCCATTCTTAGCCTACTCTAAATGGTATACCACTTGAAAGAAAACTGTGACTCCGCATGAATTACAAGACCTGTATGAGAGTTGGATATTCTCAATTAGTACTCGAATTGAAAGGCAATAGGTAACCGATATAATTGTTCAGCCCTTAGTGCTCAGCAATAATCGCAGTCTATAGATTAACACTTTCGATGTGACCAGTAAGCAAAGTAACGCGACATTGTGGTGCACTCTATTTTAGCATTGGATGGTGATATTCAGTCGGTAGAAAATCCTGAACCTAAGATTCATGCTTTTTGAGATTATTCAGCGAGGCATATCTGAAACCATTAAGAGTCTAATGTCCCATCAGTGATTCGAACCTACACCGATTTCATTCTACTCGGAACAAATAAATGCAACAAACCTCCATACATTTCACTTGATCTATTTGATGTTAATGTTGGTGGTAACTAGTATTGGGATTCACGACACTAGTTTCGTCCTATTTAAGCCCCATCAGCCGGTGAGTGGTAGTGTTCCCAATAAATTTCAGACCATGTTGCTATAAATTACTGTGTTGTTCATTTGAATCCTAATTTCTCAAACTAATTGTCTTTATGACTTACTTGAAATATATAACTACTGTTTATCAACCCCTCGTCGCCTGATTGGTATTTTGATTGAATCGTAAACCCCTTTATATTTGTGTAGAGCTGAAGAAGATGACCTAGTCGAAAAAGAATATATTTATTCGCTCCATTAGGCTTTTTTCAAACAGCTTGGTCACAGTGTTAGCTTTTAACCTAAATTATTACTCAGTAATATCATCACTTACTGTTTAGTTTGCTTAATTAACCTTTTTCTTCTGCTAATTTTTGATCTAACAGTACAAACCAATGGTAATCCTACACAGAATGAACTGATATATTATAGACAATCTTCATTACCTCATCATCCATTGCATCATGATCAAAAAATCAATGAATATCAAAAAATAACCCCAGACTTTAATGCGGTCAGTTCAAATTTCATTCCAGGAAGCTACTACTATAATCATGTCAGTAATAGTACCAATGAAGACAACAGTAATGGTAATGATAATAATAATAATAATAATAATAGCACAAAATTAATCAGTAGTCAATCAGACAAAAAAGATTCACAAGTAATCAAAAATAAAAAGTCTAATTTTATCTTAATCCATCAGCGTAATCGACGAAAACCACGTATCCTATTTTCTCAATCACAAATTTATGAATTAGAGCGACGATTTAAACAACAACGTTATTTATCTGCTCAAGAACGTGAACAAATGGCAAATAATTTAAAGATGTCTGCACAACAAGTAAGATTTATTTATGTATTCATTACAATCATCTTTTTTTATGTAATGAAATATTTCATGCAGTCTAACTGGATAGTTTAAACATCCATGCATTCAGCTTTAAGTCTTTTTAATTATCATTTTCATATGAAGTGAAAAAATTTCATTTCAGAGCTGCCGTATCATCTCAATTTCTGAAACATGTTCAACCTGAAATTCATGGGTTAATATTTATACTCTGTTCCTACTGTTACACTACAAATGAAAGTGAATTAAAGTATTTATTTCCTCTGATTATGAAGTTGTGGGGAATATTTGTAGCTTAGTTGGATAGTCTAATCAAGAACCCATCTCCCAACAAGTATGCAGGTGAAAGTGGAGATGGACCAGGCACACACTGAAAAGACCATTTCCAGACATCATGCGCTAGGTCATGTCGTTGAATGGAACCCAAAAGGAAAATGATGAGTTGAACATGCGAGTCAATGATTACATGGCGGAGATCATGTGAGTAAGAAATGAAAGCTTCTGGGTAGTCATACAGCCAGGTTGAAAAGACTGCAAAGAATGGAGTGAAATGGCGATGGGGTACTGAAGCCCTATGTTTCACTACGAACCCAAAGAATAAATAATAATAGTAGATGGATAGTCCTGGTTGCATTGTGTTCTCTGAGTTGAGTTGTTTAATCATGATGATGTCATCTAGAAAGACGATGAAAACTTCAAGACTAAACAACCTAGCTCAGAGAACACAATACAACCAAGATTTCTTCGATCTATCAGGCTAAATCTTCTCCGTTTTTAATTAAGTTGTATGATATGAGGAATCTCTTTTCATTCTTTTTTGGAAGTTTATATGGAAATAATCTTGCTGAATTATTTATTATTTTTCAGTTGTTTTAAAGTAGACTACTAATACAATACTAAATTTATATGTTCATACTGCTGAATTTAACGTAATTCATTAGTCAAGTTATGAGAATTAAGGTACATTTAGTGCATATAATCTTCGTTTCTTTTTGCGTAACACTTCAGGTTAAATTGATGTGGTTATGATAGTATGATATCATATCTATGAACCTACATTTTAGTGGCATTCTTTTAGCATATCTTATTATCATTTTCATTTTCTCTGAGGAAACGCAAATCTAATACTCAACTATATAAGTCTTGAAGTTCATATGTAACTTCTCTGACCACAATGTAGAAAGAAATGAATGCTTGTTTCTGAAGGAAAGCGAATCTTCTGTTGCTGCTCACATGATAGGTATACAGAATATAATTTAATGGCTTTTTAAGTATGAACTTTCCAGCTTCAAAAGCAATGTACTGTTTAAATGATGAAAAAAACGAGGATAATAGTAGTGTTGTTGTTCTCTGATCTTTGATATTTTGTCGTGCAGCTGCCTCCACCCCTGCCACTTTATTGTACGATCATCAATCCAGTAGAACAGTTTACGAGTAGTCTGTACCTAACACTTTGTGGCAAGATGTTCCTCCGTAAACATTCGTCTAGAAAGAAAGGCTACTCTCCAGTGGAAGGTCTCTGACCCGCAAAGTTCTCTCATTTCCAAGCACAAAGAAGCGTATTGCACTGAAAACATTTTGAAACGATGGAAAAGATTTGCTATTCAGGATGAGTATGATAATGGTTTGGTGTTCTCTCCTTCTTGATACTTTGTCAAAGCTCAGAGATCACCAAACCACGAAGAATATACTATCGTATGGCTTTATTTTGCGCATATTTCACATATAATAAGTCTAGGTCAGTCGAAGCGTATCATTAGTAAACTATGTCAGCTGAAGTAGGCATATACTAGAAAATGGTTACAGCCAGCGAGATTAAAACATGGCTTCACTACATGAAGTCTTTGACTGTTGGTCTGACCCATATATGCAGATTCACACTAGTTGGATGGGGTCCATATGACAAGTGAAAGCAATGGTTGAAGACTATTTGCTAAATGGCTGAGAATCGATGTCGGTGGCGCAGGTGTATTCACCTATTATCTTCATCCTAATCATCATAGTGAACTGCGTATTTCCTTATCCTTATTCCCTTTCTTTTACTGCTTTCTGCCGACTTTTCTTTCTTTAATCTTAGTGCTTTCTTGCTTGATATGAGGTGTGCCAGCTCAGACCATTTTGGAACAATACCTTGAACTGTGTTGGTATTGATGATGTGGATGATGATACATAGTAACACTACTATGTGTAAATCAATAAACTATCATTTTAGAAGAATATAATCGAATTCCTTTAGCATCTTCAGCTAAACTCTGTGTACTTATGGGGGTAAAACTTCGGTACTGTCGTACAATGTAATTCCATTTTAGTTGATTTATTACATGCATAAAACAGTGAAATAACACTATTTACTACGATATGTCTCAAAATTAATTTGTCGTTCATATTCATTTCAAGGTACCTTGACAATTTTTAGAAATAGCTTATGTAGTTCCAGTTCTCTTACCTTATTTGTGATATAGATAGTAGGATTTCGAATAGATCTGAAGTATTCACCGAATCATTCCTACTGTACACGTTTAGTATTGCTTCGATAAACAAAGATCTGGTTATCAATCTCTTCTTTTACTCCACTTAGTTTGTTAATAAGGACTGTCATTCCATCCGATTATATTGAAACCAGCTGAATGCATAAGCATAGCCGGGTTTTTACCTAATTTTCTTATTGAACAGGGTTCAAATAGTTGACATTTAGTTGGGTTTTCGTTCTTCGATAACCTAATCATACTGTTTCACTCTATAATTCTTCTAATAAATCAACTACATTATCTGTTTATAGCCTTTCTTGATAGATTGGCATGCGTTTAAGTGGATAACAGCTAAAGTTTAAGATAAGTCTATACTACACTACGATTCAGCATGATGACATTCCAGGTACTCACTTACTTTAAATGACAAAAAATGCAAAAAAATACAATTAGACGATGAAAGCCTCGTGAAGGTCGGGAGGTATTTCCAGTCAACCTGAGCAATTTCAATATTTTAAAACTTTCTTTCTAGTATTATCATTAATTTACTGCACCAAAATCTTCTTCTACCCTAAATTTCTGTAGTTATGAGCAGTCTATACAATAATTTTTCATTTCTGTACTCACTGTAGAACTACTCCATTTAATACCATCACTGCTAAGTATATTTGCCTAAATGGTGAAATCTTGATTTAAGCACCATGACTAAGTACCTGAGACTAGTCGACTTATTATGATATAAGTTACTTGTGGAATACAGAAGGAGCGTTTCATTTTATTTGGTTAATGTCAGCTGGATAAATCCGCATTTCAGTCAGTGATAATTTCCCTTCTGAGACTAAAACCCAGGGCCCATCGCTCCAAGCGTAAGAGATGAGACTTTTAATCCCTGTGCTGTATTGTACTGTACTAGATTTGTCGGCTTCTGTTGGAATACGAACTCCTCATAGGTATTTCTTGAAATTCTCTGAAATTTCCTGTTGGTATTAGTTAGTTCCTGGTGGTTGCAGTCAAGTCATGGATACATTTTTCGTTTTATTTGGGATTCGTCATCTGGCAATGAATCATGAAGCAATATCAGTAAATTTTTACAAGAGCTTGTATGTTAACAGATACCGTTCACTTCAATTCAGTATAGTAATCAATAGAAAAATACAAGTATCAATAAATAATCAACTAATTATTGAGAGATTCTAAGACTTTTGGTATCTACCTTAAGACTTTTTTTCTCTTAATTAATTATGGACTTTGATATTCATTGTATCTTAATATAACCTAGTTAGTCTAATGTTCTCTGTACCCCAGAATAGAATCTGAAACTCTCTGATAGTATCAGTTTGTCTAGGGGATGGGATTTTGAAAAGTATATAAGGTTAAACTATATAAGTTACTAATCTATAAATCAGTTGGATGAGCAAATCAATACATAAGATTTTTGATCAGATAATGTGATTGGATGAAAGTAGAACCTGGTAAAAGGCTTATTTCAATGTAAAGGTTTATTAACCTTGAAATTGTGGGTTCAAGTTTGACTGAAAGTTTTTCTGGAAATACAACTATCTGTCTGTTGCAGAACGTATCTGCATTCAGTTTGAAGGTTTATGGGGATTTATTGATTTCAAGTTGGTATTCATCATGGAATGACATTAGTTAGAGGAAAAGTGGAAACATGAGAGCACTGGAGATCTGTTTCATCCTAGTACGAAATCCCTGAGCAGCGCGTACACTTGACCCCACCCCGCCGATGGTCGAACTCAGGGACTTCAGGTTCTGCGACCAGCACGTTACAATTGATCATTTGGATTCATGCTTCTAAAGTTTTGAATAACATTACATAAACGTTTGGCTAGTACAACAGATAAGATCTTTCTGCCTGCTGAGATATATGTTCAGCAGGCGAATTCCCATCGAAATTATTGAGGTATTTTTCGTTAGAATTAGTAATTAGGTTGATTTTAGTGTCTAATGTATACAGTTTGAAAAACTATTGACTTACGTACTCAACGGCTATTTTCATAATCTTTAGTACCATGTGTCTGTAATTCCATTTTATTTGGTTTGTTAGATGCATAGCCCAGTGAAATAGTACACTGTATGTAGTATAGAATCTATCACGATGTCTGTGTTTACTCATATATCACGTATCTGACTTCCCCAATCGCTGTTCGAATCCTTTCATGTGATAATTCCTTCAGAGAAAAACTATCACTTTTGATGAAATATAACCAAAATGTGTCTGAAGTCACACCCTCTTTTAGTCAAGTAGGCTCACTTTGACTACTTTCCATAGTGAAGTGATGTTACTTACTAAAACACTGGTAGACTTGTGTTTCACCCACCTTTATAACCCTTCAAAAGAATCTGCGCATGTCCCTAAAAGGGACTGTACTCATAACTGATGGATGATATAGAATGGTGCGTGCGTTACACTGCGGATGGATATGAGTTGGGAAATGTGAAACGCTGACTTCTGACACAGTAAATCAGTCCAAAAATATTTTACCTTTAGAACTCTCACGATGAAAG